AGATCAGGCTACTCAAGGCTCCGTCCAACTTGGCCTTGAACACCTCCAGGGAGGGGGCAGCCACAACGTCTCTGGGCAATTTATTCCAAAGTCTGGCCGCCCTCGTACTGAAGAATTTCTTCCTAAGGTCCAATCTAAATCTATTCTCCTTCAACTTAAACCCATTTCCCCTTGTCCTGTCAGTGGACACTCTTGTAAAAAGTCCCTTCCCAGCCTCCCTGTAGGTTCCCTTCAGGTATTGGAAGGCAGCTGTTAGGTCCCCCCGAAGTCCTCTCTTTTCCAGACTGAACAATCCCAGCTCCCGCAGCCTGTCCTTGTAGCTCCAGCCCCTGGATCATCCTTGTGGCCTCCTCTGAACACGCTCCAACAGATCCACGTCCCTCTTATGGTGGGGACACCAAAACTCGAGGAAACATTTATGGTACGTGATCCCCTCATAGTGACTGTGACCAAAGATTTGCTGCTGGCACGAGCTACTGAGTGCCCCGTAGGCAGCGCAACCAGCACAGGCAAACCAACAACGGGAAATCTCCTGCGGCCAGCTGTCCTGCAACGACACGGGGCAAAAATCATTCCTCTCCCAATGAACCTCCTAACTACAAACATTCAAAATTCTTTCTTCAATTTTTAACCTCGGCAGACTTCTACTAGCTTCACAGAAAAGTCACTCACGTCCAAGAGGCGCTCCCAGGGAACGTGGGAACAAACTGCAGAGCTGCAGCACAACAGAACAAAAACTGACAGTGTGAGACAGCACGAAGCAAATGGGATTATTCACAAAGATCCTCAGCGTTTCATTTGCAGAAGGATGATCGACACCTCTCCAACACACGCTGCTTTGGAGAACTGGTCACAAAAGGCATCTTGGAGAAAAGACGTGCCTTTATCAAGCGGGCAAAACAGTCGCCTTGAAGTTAGAAACAAGACCCAGCTCACCTGAATTGGGGCATTCTTGCAACGCCTTGGCCATCAGAGTATTTGCAATATTCTTCAGCCCAGCTCTGTACTCTAAACGCACAGACTCCAACCTGGTGAGGAAGAGACTCAGTGAGGATGTTTAGTACAATATATTCACTACGTGGGAACAAATAACGAGTCCCACGAAGATCCTTAAGAATAGCTACCTACAAGATTGCTAAAGCACTTCTGGTAATTAGAAAAAAGTTGTTAGTCCAGAAGAAACTCTAAGATGGGCACGGTCTTAAGTTCCAGGCTCAAATAGCTGAGGAGGCGTAAAAGAGCCGGCCCGAAGAATGCATTTGCTTTGTAGCCAAATTCATTTTATCTCCACTACTCACCAGAGATCTGGATTCTTTGGATTCTTCAGGCGAGACTTTTCCAAGATGGCTCTTGCTCTGGTCAACTGCCCAACTTTCTCCTCCAGCCTGGACAGCAACAGCCACAGTGGTATGGAATGGGGGCACTTTTTCAACTGGTTAAAAAACCCAAAAATTTACAAAATATGGTAATATGTAGGTTTGAAAAAAATATTTACGACCCCTACAGAAAAAACCTTCCCTCCCTACATCAATATTACTTTCCTGACTGATGAGTTTCACACCCAAGGACACTGATTACCATTTAAAAGAGACACAAGCGCTCTGTAGGCCACCTCCTTTCACTGTGTGTACTTAAAAGCTCATTAGGAGTGGGGTTTTTTTGAAGAGTTCTGCTTTTAGTCTTTATGGTCTTAGAGAATTATTGTGCAATGACTTTCTTCCTACCAGTGAGGAGTCAAGCACAAAGCAAGCTCTCTCAAGCAAGAAAGTGAATTTTGCACACAGATACAGGCTAAGAGAAATTCTTGCCACTTATTTCAAGGTCCTCATTTTTCTTTATTTTTTTTTTATTATTTTAACCAGTGATGGAAAGAATAGAAATCAGTCCTTTGGTTAGTCTGGGACAGAGCCCTCTCACAGGCTTTGAATTTTAATTCAAGGCCAGATATCTCTCCGTGCCAGACAGACAAAGCAAACCTGCAATAACACACATCTTACCCCTTGGTTATAAGCCTCCCGCGCCTTGTCTACCAGCTCCTTTTGTTCCTCAATTTGTCCCTTCATCATCCACAGCTTGGGGAAGTCCTCGTAGTGCTTCAGGGCTTCCTCACAAAGCTCCTGGGCTGCGGCAATGTTCCCGAGCACCCACTCCAACTTCACGGATTTCATGAAGACCTGAGAACAAACCAGAGCTGTTACCACGAGCAGCCACCGTAAAACCATTCGTTCGTTGATGCTGTGGCTTCCGACTTTCACGCCTTCATTCGAATGTTTAGTGCTTGTATAGTTTAGTGAATGTATCATGTTTGTCCAAAAGGCACAGCTTGAAGAGCACAATCAGTTAACAAATCTGAGCCTCCTTCACCGACACAAGGTGACCTCCTCAGATCCAAGGTACCAAACCACCTGCTTGTACTCACGACTTCACGTTGCAACTCTGACCCTGCCAATTACAAATGGGCACACAGACTGCTCTGCCCCCCAAATGCCTTTCTGTTGGTTGCACACTATGAGAAATGTTACAGACCAAAAGCTGGAGAGGAGCTCCCCAACTGACAAGAGAGGAAGAGGAGAGTGTAAAAAGGTCTAGGATGAAGCACAAATTGGGTGGGGAGTGACAGGGGCTGGATAAGGAACTCATTTTTCTTTTACTTGGACAAGTTAAAGTAGTTCTGTACGAACAGCTGAAAATCAACAACGTTTATCATATCAGAAGTAACTCTCGAGAAACACAAGGGCGTAACTTTATTCAACAGTCTCGAGCAGAGCTGCCTTTAGCACAGTAAGTGTGAATCTTCTGTGAAAGTATTTTCTCTTTCTTTTTTCCACGACATGCTTTTATGCAACAGGAACGTTACACAAACAGCTGTAAATCGGGAATTTCCTGACTTTTGACATCTGTGTAGAAAAAGCGAAACCCTTCCCTCAATCCTAGCCCTTCTTCCCCCCTGTCGTGCCGCGATGTCGTGTCGCAATTCGCCCGAGAAGCGCCGCAGCGAAGCAGCCACACGCCTCCAAAGGGCAACGGGCAAGGAGCCATCGGGTGAGTCCCTCCGGCCACAGAACTGAAGAACTTCTCCTTCCATTTCAACCCCCTCCCGGCCAAGAGAGGTCTCAGCCTCTCCCCTCCCCTTCACACGTCCTTACCCTTGCAGTGGGGGCACTGCTGCGAGCTTTGGCCAGCAGCCTCCTCGCTCTTTCGTATTCATTGTTTTCCGACTCGAGCTTCACGGCAGCCAGCCAGATCTCCTCGCTGTTGGGGTTGGCCTGCGAGAACATAAAACGACAGACGAGTGCCTACAGTGAATCAACAGCAGATTTAATCCTTCGTTTGATCCAGATTAAAATTGAAATCAGAGCTTTGTCAATCCACACCAGGATTTTATTTTTTTTCAGCTCAGGCTCCTCCCAATCTTCTCTAACCTTTGAAGTTTATAGAAATTCTCCAAAACAGACGCACAACACAAAGATATATGCCAGTTGAGAAGCTGGATGCTTCTCAATTGTTGAAAAGCAGTAATGCTTGATCTTCTGAACTTCCAGTTTAAATACTGAAAAGATCACAGGGTTTACACCACAATGAGACCCTCATTTTATTATCCATGAGCAAAACATCTGAAGCTCGAATTCCCAACTGAGGCCTGTGAACATGTCTCCTATAAAAGTCATTTTCAGTGGCCACCACGTCAAGAAGTCTTCAGGATGGTAACGAAAAGCACCAAGAACAAACTTAGGAAGTTACCTTCCATCTCAGGAGGTGTCATTTGTTTACGTTATCTTTTAGCTTTTAAGCCTCATTCCCAGTGTTAGAACTGCATCCAGCTGACAATTCCCTTCATTTTGCTGCATATTAGTGGTGCAGGAGCCTGGTTAAATTAGGGCAGACCCCCACCTTCTTTACTGAGGAGAGAGGAGACCCAAGCCACGGGGATTCTGATCCGTGCCTGGGAGCCACAGTCATAATATGAACAGTTTGCGAGCTCAGAACCCGACACGGCCCTACTGAAAGAGGAGTAACGCACCCTCGCTCCCAGCTTGGGGATTTTACAGGGGAACATTTTGTCGCAGAGCAGCAGAAGCCTCCATCGCTTTGAAAAGCTGCAGGAATCAAGTGTCGACAGAAAAAGCCTCTTGTCCTGCTTTGAGAACTTAACACCCCAGCACGAGTCTAACATACCCACCTGGAAAGCCAGGGCCAAAATGCTTCTGGCTGCTGGCACGTCTCCCGCCAGCCACTTCGACTTGGCTCCCATGAGCCAGAGCACTTCGGCTTTGGGACAGTGAGCGACAGCCCTCTGCAAAAGAGCCTCCAAGGATTCTCTGAGACAAGAAAGAGCAAGTTACAATCGCTCGAAATGCGGCCAAAAGGCAGCTCTCGCGCACCGGTCCCGCTATCGCTCAATGTTATAAATATTGTCGCAAAGTCCAACGTTGTAAACCGTGATAAGTTGTTTCATAACAAGGAAAGGGTGGGGCCCGTTTTCACAAGGGTTCTGAAATCAGCCCTCCACAAACGGCTCATTGTTCGGACACCTTTGTTTGATAGCCTGCACACAAACAGTGCCTTTAGCTCGGGAAGAGCCACTCTTCTTAACAAACCTTAGTAGAAACTGAGACAGGAGGTTTTTTTAGAATTATTAGATGAAGCTGGCTCGATCTTACTGAAGTATTTCTTTTTTTCTCCTCTAGAAAATATAATTTTCAAGGCAGAACAAGGTAGAAAAAGCCAGGGAACAACATCAGAAGCAAAAACATAATTGATCCAAAAAAAAAAAAGAAAAAAAAGGCTCGAATGAGGCAGTCACTTCCACACTGCAGCCTTCTTGGCTTTAATAAGGATGATTTCACACGTGCAAGTGGTCTGCCGCACAGATTGTTTGCTTTATTCTAAACTTTGGCCAGAAAGTTTCAGACGTGTAAAGCTTTACGAATAAACTCAGAAAAAGAGGCCTCAGCTGGGACAGTGTAACACCAATCTTAATTCAGAACGTGATACACATTCACAGGGTGTTTATCAGAAAACGCCAGAGATGCTTGGAAGAACTTGAGTGATGCAGTTTATCTGTGAAAATTAAATTAAGCACATGCTGTATATTCTAGGTGATTTGTATTCCCACTTCTTTCTCGAAACGCCTTCTCAAAGACGAGGGGTCCCTACCTCGCCTACTCACAGCTATTTTTACCAAGCAGCTCCTATTGCCAAAAAAACCCATCTTTTACAACCTCATAAAAAGCAGAAAAATATTCTGACCACAACGCTAACAAAGAAGGCCAGACCTGCAAACAACACCAGCGAAGTTTCCACCGGCTGAGCTAACTCTGCCCGTGCAACGCGCCGCTCCACGGATCAAGCTCGGAGCTTTTCCTCCTCCCCAGCCCATCGCTCCAGAAGGAGGTGGAATCCCTCCACCTGAAGGCTACGCAGCACACCCACCTCGTCCCGTGGTTCTTTTCGAAGTACGCCGCTCGCAGCCACACGCTCTTCTTGCTTGGGAAAACTTGCAAGGCATAAGCATAAATCGCCCGAGCACACTCCAGAGCATTATGAGCAACGCACTGCGGGAAAAACAGGTCGGAATTAAGTCAGTTTACAGTCGTATCGAAATCAAGAAAGAATTACACCTGCGTAACCCAGAGGAATACAAGAATTGGGGCATTATGTGTAACAGAACAGTTATTATCAGCTTTTCCAAAGGGAGTAGGGAGGAAACTTTCAAGCATTCATCTGTCAGAGCACAAGGATCACTGCGGGACTGGCAAGCACAGGCCAGCTTGGAACATCAGTCAGGCCTTGTCAAGGGCTCTCAGGTTTGCACTTTTTGTTTTTTACAGGCACGTCTATAAGCACCACAGCCCGTGTTCCCTACTGCCATTAAGGCCGATTCAAGGCCAGCGAAACAGGCATTTCTCATGCTGAAATATAATTCAGTCTTTAGCGGGCATTCAACTACTCCCCTAAAGCAAAGAAAGCCCCGTAAAACTTTTACTAATGTCCCTGTCGAGCCTTGCATTAACTCTTGAGTTACAACGTTCATGCCTTGAAACCCACCTCTCAGCTCCTTTAAGCAGACCCTCAACCTCTGCTGATGTCACACAGGCAAAACGCACCCCCAGGCCAAAGCCAGCCAACAATCGACCACCAAATCAACCTTTTGCTTTGCAAAAATTCAGATCTGCAGTGCCATAACCTCCTGAGAGGCAGACTGATCAAACACAGGCAGGTGCTGTGGGAATCACATCCAGCTTGACAGATTAAAAAGTCATTTCCCATGCTCCAATTCAATTTCTCCAATTAACAAAAATCAACAACCAAACACAAAAGGAACGAAAGCCAACACTGCAGCTGGACGTACGCTGTCTGCGTCTTCCATCCAGGTGTGTTTCCGATCTTCTTCCTCGATCCCAATCCCAATCACAGCTCGCATGATCGCCTGGCACGTGGCCACGCTTCCAGCTTTGTCACATTCCTCAGCATCCTGGAAACGAGAGTAAAGCCCTGCTCATTTCTGAGAGCTCAGCACAAGAAGTTAAGATTCTGCAACAGCAGCCTCTCGCGTGCAAACGCCGACACAACCATAGGTCACCGCCACATAACAAATATCTTATTACTCAAGCATATCTTGACACTAACTGGTGAGCACCCACAAGGAAGGTGCTAGAGTTGTACAAAGAATCATTCAGAAGCTGGTTGAGAATCAAAGCTCATCGACTGCATCCTCTGAAAAAGAACAAGTTTGACAACGCGTGACTTTTCCAGCCTGAAGTATCCTCTTCCAGCTCCCCTGACCTGCTCTGGGCTGGGCCAAGCAAGAATTTGAGGAGCAAAAATCATAAAATCAAAACTACCGATCTTCTGTCAGCTTTGGGTTGATCCTTAAGTCTCAACAAGGGCTAAGCAATAAATGAATTTAAATGAATATGCTCTCAACCAGTGTTAACGCTCAATGGTGCTAAATTAAAACTGCAAAAGCTCTCTCACCAGAGTGTACATGGGAAAGCAGTTTTCTGACACACAAAGCTTTCAGAAAGCCAAGAGTGTCTTGCTTCAACTTGTTCCAAAGACCTCCGATCAGATAACAGAAATGGAACGGTTCAAGTACCAAAAAGGAACTCGAGAAGACTCGAGAGGCTGTAGCACTGGGTTTCTCAAACAGATGTTGAAATTAACCTTTAATTGTTTTACTGCTGGAAAGAAAGTTACAATTCTTTGAGATGTTAACAAAGGATACCCGTTTAATGTTAAATACTTTGTTCATTCTGTGACTACTTCACACAAGCCAACAAAGAACCAACAGGATATTTCCTGCCTGCTGCATATGCAACATTCGTACTGACTTCTTACAACGATATCTGACAAAGGCCTCTTTGGCAAAAAGATACCTTTTAAGCCAAAAGAGACATGTTAAAAAACACATAAATCCTTCACCGGAGGCTTAAAGCCTCTGTCCTACTTAAGGGAGCAGCTGCTTCAGCTTGAAGCTGGTTATTTTCAAGACAGAAGCACATCAGACATTCCTCAACACAGCTACGGCGTTGGTCCTCCTCAGGTTTTTAGTGACCTCTTGTATCTTCACGGGGATCTCTACTGAGGAGCCTTGCGCTAAATTCCTCCACCCCACAACATGTAGCATCTGCAGTCTCCCCGAGAGAACCCGAAGAGTTCATCAGGGTCTCTACCCAAGCCCAAGCAAATACCTGTATCCACTGCTCTCGGTTGATTTCCACGCCGTTAGCCCTTAGAGACGTGATGGCTCTGTCAATGATTTTCTCCACCATCTGGGTGTTTCCATTGGCTTCCTCCAGTTTGGCAGCAGTAATCCAGATGTGACGATCTGTCGGGATATTCTCTCGGGCTTTGTTAAGGACTTTACGAGCGTTCTCATATGTCTCCAGCCTTGCCAGCGCAAGCCACAGCTGCGGAGCAACAAAAGATGTATTTTAGATTAGAACAAGGAGATGACAACGCTGCCGTACGGCAACAGCAGCCCGACGAGATAAGCAGCTTTATGCTGTTTGCTACTGGTTGGCAATTGGCCTCAAGTAGGACGAGCAGGCTGCAGAACACCAACAGAGAAAGAGCAGCAACTGAGTCTACTTGAGTGTAATCACCTCGAGATATTGTCTCACTTTGCTGGGCTGCCACACTCTTTATTTTCTGTCCCCACCACCTTTAAAACCGCTGAACATCACAGCCTGGTTCAGCATTTGAGACGAGCATCTTGTTTCAGACTCCCCAGGCTACACGTAACTTGTTCTCACAACTGCCGAGGCACTAAGCATGAACAGGGCTAATTGGCTACAGCAGGCACAGCAGTAACACTGGCATAACTAATTAACAATTACACAGGAAAATGAGGCATATAATGACCACCGGCCAGTAAACTCTGGAGAAAAAAAAAGCGCAGTCCGCTACTCATCACTTCCTTCTCACCGTGGCGTAAAGCAAACTCAAAGCCGCGCTCTCTGCCTTTCGTTTTCAAAGCTCTGCAGCCAGCCTAAAGGGGTGCGTAGGGGGTTGCTTTATTGTACTTTAAAAAAACCCAAACAACTTACTTCTACGCTTGTGGGACAGCACTCCACAGCCCGACTCAGCATGATCCTGGCATCCTCAGGTTCTTCTAACTCCACGGCTGCCTTCCACAAGCGCACCGAATTTGGAACGTGCTCAAGGGCTAGAGAGGCAAAACGATTACGTCAATCAGGGCCAAGTAGCTTACCGACAAGAACGGTATTTTTTAAAGATGATGTATTAAAGGGCTTTGTCCTGTTACAGATGAAATTTCCTGAACGAGAGAAGGGAGGGAACTGTATTTATATTAGCTCTTGCTTCAACAATGCAAATTTAAAACCCGAACATTAAAAAACTTTCTAAATAATTTTAATTGGAAACAGGTTTTAGAGAGCCAAGGGCTTTTTCCCTGTACAAGCTCTAACTCCTCCTCAGTAAAACACCCAGTTGAACAAAATCCAGCATATGAGTACCAGTAGAATCTTCAAAATTGAGTAACCTAATCATCCTTTCCAAAAATGGAGCATCTTCAATACTAATAACACAGCCTTGCTCCTTGTCCCTTCACAATTTAGCTTTTCCGTAGGCATCTCCTGACAGCTTCATGGATCCCAGTTTAGCTTCTCAAAAATGTTACTGGCGCACTATGCAAAAATAAAACAGGAGGATGCACGAAAGCTTAAAGGTACTGGTGACATGAACACCTTAAGTCACTGAATCTGAAGTGTTCTGCCAGTAACCCAAGAGGGGCTCCAGCTAATTAAGAGTCTTTGAGGCATCCTTATTCTTGTGTAAGAGTTCATTACTGCTGGTAGAAGCCGCACACGCTGCAGATCATCCTACCTGTGCTGTCTGAAACACTGAAGTCTAATCAACAGCTTGTCTGCCTCTTCATAACCTCGTATCTTAACAGCAGGTTGAGAAACTAAAGGGCTTTTTAGCCTTCTGTTCCTACAACTCACACCACAGGTGACCAGTACTAGCAGCTTTTGCTCCACTGCTTCACGGTGTCCGTACACCAACGTGCCACAGGGGCAGAGGACCGAGTTGCACCCTTCTCCAATAAAACAAGTGCAGACGTGGGTGAGAAAGGGCATGAAACCCACTCTGAAGCCAGCTCGGCCTCCAGGCAAGGCTGTTCCTCTAAGCACTGCCACAAAGGCAGAGGCACTCTGCTGAGCCTCCCCTGCAGAGCACATCCCAGCCCTACGGAAATGCACGCAGCCTTTACAAGCAGCGATGCACTGGAGGGTTTGGGCATTAACCGCTTCTCCTCGAGTCTGCAGCAGCAGGAGATATTTTTTTCTGAAGCGTTTCAAGTGAATATCAGCCTGCGAGGGCCAAAAGCACCACTCAGCAGGACAGAGCGTGTTTTCGTAGACCAAGCAATTGATTTTTAGACCTCAGGATATATTTTAAACACTCAGCTCACTGGCTCTTCAGTCAGAGAGAGGCTCTGCTGCATAGCAGGAACACGCACAGCCAACGAACAAGAGAAGCACTTTATGAAGCATCACACTTCACTGCCATTACCTTGCAGCCTTTTTTCATTTCAGGAGAAATAATGGGTTAAACTGCTGCTTATCTTAAGACTGTATACCCCAAAACAGCTCCAAGCATCATATCACTGACGCTCCCTGGGTAGCAGAGGAGCAGGGTGAAGCTGTCAGCGAGCAGAAATTGGGAAGGGAATGATAAATCATGTTCCGTTCCACTAATACCTTTGTACCAGGGATTAAGTAGGTGGTCCCAAAAACTGAAGCAAGATGCTTTTCTCTTTGCAAATAGGATGTTTAAAGCACAACTCAGTACTTAATGCTCTCAGACAAGATGTTCTCCTACCAGAGCTGGACTCACAAATCTGTATTTGCTCAGCATCTGTCATTGCTCACGAGGAGGACACAGACTGTCACAGAAGCAACATTTCACCGCATGCTGCACTGCTTAGTCCATGAAAATTTTAAAAAGCTACTGAATATTTAATACCTGAACTCTTACAACTTCGAACTGCCTCTCACCCTCAAATCTGTTTTTGCTCACGTAAAAACGTTTTTCTGTTCAGCATCTGTCATTGCTCACGAGGAGGACACAGACTGTCACAGAAGCAACATTTCACTGCATGCTGCACTGCTTAGTCCATGAAAATTTTAAAAAGCTACTGAATATTTAATACCTGAACTCTTACAACTTCGAACTGCCTCTCACCCTTATGCAGTAAGAGGTCATTTCACCAGAGATGTGCAATTTTACACACAATGGTAAGAGGTAGGAGGCAATTTACTTCCTCTGAAGCCAAACCATTCGATACTGCTTCACGATGATTTAGTAAATGTATCAAATCCAGACCCATTTCAAGATTAAAGTCAGGAGATGATCTAATCTCTACTGATACAGGCACAGCAACCTAAAAGTAATCAAAGAATTAATACTGTGTACCTGCAAGGAAGGCCTGTGATGAGGACAACACAACAAATTGCTGTTAAAGGGATCAGTTTGAAAAAGACAGTAATTCCACAAGAGAGGAAAACCAAGTGCAACACAACGGAAGGTCTAAGTTTTTAGGTAAGCAGCACTGTTAAAAAAGAACACAGAACTTGCCCCAGTAAACCCCAAGGCCTCTAAAGCTCCTCTGCCAGAAATGACTGTGGTCTCCAACAGGCTACAGACTACTTGGAACTCAAAGTTCAGTATCTTTTCAAACGTATCATAAGACGACAGTTAAAACACCCTTTACGCCTCAGAGCATCATTTTTAAATCACTTCCATCTACCCATCTAACTCTGATCAAGCTGGAATCGGGTTTGGTAAGTGAAACATCACTTTGCAGTTGCTCAATGACAGCAGTTTTATGTTGAAGGATGTTTTACAAACCCTTCAACGGTTCTGCTCTTTGACTGAACAGCAGCAAGTTCCCCCGTTAAGGCACACGTTACTAATGAACACATTTGCACCAAGGATGCACAAAAAAAAATAAGAAAGGAAAAAAAAAAAGCACTTAAACTTTTGGATACAACTTGAAGAACACAAAGCAACAGAGAGGGAGACTCTGACTTTGCTCCCTGCCCCTGCAGAAGCTCTCACCTTTCCTGAGGACACGTTTCTTCGCACGGATGTCTGTCTCCAGCTCTGCTGCTCGGATGTAGATTCGGACAGACTGCGGGAGGTGACGGACAGCTTGGGCCACAACAGCCTTGGCTGTATCCCCAGGCTGAAGCCGAGCAGCTTCTAACCAAACATCCTCACTCTGTCAAGAGAAAGAAACAATCTTCCTTTACATCAAACCAAGAATTTAAAAGTGGAGTTTCTAGTTAAACATGCCTTCTTTTAACACTGCAGGTAATGAAGTTCTATCAGCTATAGCCTGAGAAAAGCTTAACAGGGAGATGTTGCTGCTCATAACCACGACCTTTTCCCACTGCCCTGCACGGATCAGCAGGGAAGCAAAGCAGTTCTGACCTTGGGGCACATCTCTGTTCCTTTCATGATGAGGTTTCGAGCCACTTGGAGTTTGCCAGTGACCTCCTCCAGGCGGGCTGACGCTATCCAGGCTGGCGGATGATGAGGATTGGTCTCACGTACAGATTTCAGGAGCAAACGGGCTTTCTTGATATCACTGAAGGAGGTGGAAAGGCGGACAGAAAAGCATCCAGCACGTTAGCAAACCGTTCTCCTCCACCAGTGAGTGCTTCACAGTTAATTCTTGGCAGCCAACTCAGACGCACAGTAACTGTGACCTCAAACTTTTCCATACTCGTGACACAAAACATACATTACCAAACAAACAAACTTACCAATACACAGTAACACGAGATCACAGTGAAAAATAATGAGGGATTTACGATTTTTAAGAATTACAGCTAGGCACTTGCACTTGGAAGCTGGTAAGTGTTAGTATGAATATTTGATTTAGACAGTAACTCTTTATGAATCAGGTGTCAAAAACTTCAGGTTAAAGAGGTTTTCAAAGGTCATCAATCAAGCCTAAATTACCAGTACACAGGCACAATGAAGCAGGTTATTTTATGGCAGGCAGCCACACCCTGCCATCACTCTGGCATGTTAGTCTGGGGATAGAAGAGAAACAATCCCCACAATTGATGCATCCAGGTCAGACGTTAAATACATCAGTTGAAAGACTATACCAGATCTCATGTGAAAAGAATTCACCCTTGAAAACTCACCTAGCATCTTTCCCAAATTACATGCCAGCTGAAAGCCACCCGCTCAGAGAGATTTCCATTTATATATGCAGGATCACAGTCATTGCTAAGAGGATAAATCGGTTAATCCTTCTTAAACTTACTTGATATCTCCTCCATGGGTGGGAATCATCGAATTCAAGTCTGTCAAATATCCTTTGGGGTCCACCACAGTCTGGCCACTCACGGAGTCTGACACCTGGGAAAGTCAAGTTGGCATTACTGAAACAAGCATTCACAGCCCCACAGTTTGCCTGCATGTGCTAGCTAAAGACTGGAAAAGAAATGGCTGCTGTACAAAAAAAATCCTAGACATTTATCTGTTAGCGAAACCAAGGCAGGAGGAAAACACAAAGTCTTGCTTATTAACTTTTTCTCCACTTCTAAAACACAAAACTTGAACGTTAAAAATCTGGCACAACCGAAAATGCAGAAGCTGAGCAGCTTGGCCTTCCATCACCATGAGGTCTGGTAGCTAAAGCCCACCTTTTTAGTTTAAACCAGATCTAGATGGAGAAAAATCAATGAAAAACAAGCTAAGAGCAACTAAAGAGGAGTATTTTCCAGCATTTTGAGCTGCATCCCTGCACAGGACAGATGTTTCCCTTGGTAAAACTACTAGTGCTGCTTGCCTGAAGTTCACTGGTCTAACAGGGAGTTCGTTCTCTCATGACGACCACAACTTGTAGGGACAAACTTATCCCTCAGGAAAATTCATTTAGAGCATGAGATTTGAGGAGGAGGACTATAGAATTATTTCACAGCCAAGCCGTTTCTTCTAAACACCCAAGAGAATTAAAAACTTTCCTAAAACCAGGTGTTAAGCAGCAGCATGACACCAACACAGATCCTCCTTTCGGCATCCTCACCTGGCTGAGCCTCATGTCCATCAAGGTATTCCTGGCTTGGCCAATCTTCCTCATATCCAATTCCCCTGTCCCAGGGGTCATTAAGCCTGGCGTCATTCCTCCTGGATACGGCGTATTCAAGCCCCCTGGATATGGAGTATTCAATCCACCAAATTGCTAAAAAGAGGGAGAGAAATGCATTTAAATTACTTCATTTTCTGCTGGCGATAAGGCAAATACTTGTTAATATGAGTGGTCCAGGGTTGAGGCAAACCATTAGGTGAAATTGCACTTTATTTTATGTCCCATTTTTGCAAAATATTGGCATAACAGTAAAGGAAGTAGGCTGTGCTCACCAAAACCCATTATCACCATTCTGCAGCCAGAGAAAAGGGGAAAAAAAAACCACTTTCTTCCATTTTCAACGCAAAAAACAATCTCTCCCTACCTATCCTTGAGTTTTCTCTGGCAATGGGTATGTACTGAAAGCCTCTGGCAAGCACAGGAACTTCCAGTAATGCCTTTGACAGATTCACAAACTGCACAGGGTTTTTTGTGGGTTTTTTTTTCCTCCAAACCCTGCTAACGAACGCCCGGTTCAACCCTTGTCTCCAATTATGACTTAAGGGAAACATCTTCGTCGGGTTTGCTCTGTCCTCACCGTTTGGCGGGGGTCCACAGAAGTGTGATTCTCTCCCGACTGCAGGTGCTTTGCAAAGAAGCTGTCGGGTACAGGAGTCAGCTTCTCGTAACGAGGATTCCTCTGACGTTTGTTCCTGGCGTCACCAACTTCTGGAATGCTCAGCCACTCTTCCTCCGTGACCTCCGCCAGCTTCCGCTGTTCAAACAGGAATTGTCAGCATTCTTTGCTGCAGAAATTTCTTCTTTTTACCTGCTCTAATTCCTCAATAGCTTTTTTGTTTTTCTTGGAAGAATCCAGATCAATTAAAGACTTCAAGGTCAAAGATCAGATTATTTCTTTTTTCTAATCCAACGTACAAAAGAATTAGATGCGTTTAATTAGAATTTGGGTTTAGTCCAGATTAAGGTTCCAAATCAATTCTGTCATTAAACTCAGTGCTACAAATATTCAGATTAATCTCTGTGCCTACAGCATTGAGCGTTTTATTACTAATCATGAAACAATAGCTTAAATAATACATTTTATTTTAAAGAAGCTTCAGAGTCAGGAGATCCTACTCAACTACTATTCCCACACCAACCAGTTATCCCTCCCCTCAAAGACAGTCTAGCACCTGCTCAACAACAGATGTGAAGCTGCAACAAAGCACAAAAGTCCGTAACCGCACAACTGCCTAAAATTATACTGCAGCACTCAAGAGAGCTTCCACACCACGAGCTGACAGCTTCACGCTCATTTTTCCAATAGAAAGTCATTCTAACCTGGAGAGTCACCAAGTAATTGTTCGCTAACACGCAAAACAGGAAATGCAGAATGTACATCTACCTCTCATATGCCATAAAGAGAAAAGTCACGTTTCAGACAGTTTTTCCTTACTTTCAAGTCTGAAAACTGCTGCTGGATCTTGGGTCGTTCCATACGGTATTTTTCTATTTCCTCTTTTTCTCGTTGTTCCCTTAGGAAAAGAAGCACTGAGGTTACACTCAAAGTAACACCTGGTAAGTCTTTAAACTAATAATTCATATTACAAAGTGCTTGATCAGAGCTAAGACATTAAAAAAAGGCATTTTTTCCCATCTTAGATTATCAACATTATGACAGAGATGTCTTCTCAGATAAGACAATATCGTAGCGTAAAACCAGACAACTCTAAACGAGTGAACGTCAGCCTTTAACATCCTCTCACCTGGAGACCAGGGAGTGAGTTTAACAAGTTAATTAACACTCCCCAGTTCCATGACTTTTCTAACCATTTCCAGTGTTAGGTACTATGGGATGCATCACAACCAGCCGCTGAGCACCTCCCCACATCATCTCAATGAGCTACAGCAAATCTTAGTTAACGATAGGGAAGCAATTCGACCACATGGACTTGCAGAGCAAGTTGTGCAGAACACCCAGCACCCTTAAAACCTGGAGCCAGGGGGTCAAAGGTACCACATTAAAACGAGCGACAACTGTGAACGCTTCTGAAAACGTACCCAGGAGATGAGGACCAAATCTGAACTGCAAAATGGAAGATAGAGGAAAACTCTAAATCAAAAAGTAACTAGAAAACAGCTGGAGGTAGTGTTGTACTCCACCCTACCTTCTTTCTTTTCTGCGTTCATCCATCCTCTTATCCAAAGCTGCATAAATAGCATCGGCTTCCTCGTCATCTTTTTCGTAGGGGCCGCTTGAGAACAGGCTCCCAGCGTACCCGTTGAACTAAGAGTTTGGAGAGAGGCGAAAAAAAGATATGAAAGAAAAAAAAAAACATCAGTATCCTCAGTTCAAAGCTCCAGTTACGTTCCTGCTACGGCCAACAGTCACCCAGAACAAGGAAAATGCAGGAGCAGGCTATTTCTAACAACACTGCATCGGACTAACACGTCCCTAAATAAAAGCAGTTTGCTTCTACCACCCCCAGGGTTTATCCTCCCACAGCATTTCAAAAGCAAAGCTGCTTCAGGATTGCTTCTCTTTCAAAATTGCTTCTAGGAAGCAATAAATGAGACCCCAGTATAGAAAAGCCATTTTCTTACATTAATCACTTCTTTTTTCTTTTTAAATTACTGAAAGCAAACATAAAGAGAAACACAATGTGTAACTAGCCAATGTGGGATTTAAACACAAGAGTCTACACAGGCCACATAAAGACAAAGCGTGAGAGCTTAGATTTCATAAAAACAATACATCCCCTGAAGTTCTTAAACTAATATTTTATTTATGGATCTCTTCCTGAGACTCTCAGGGCTCTGTATAGATAATCAAACGCAACACAGGGCTCAATGCCATAACAAAAACCTGCAAGCACTACGCCATTCTGTAAAATGCAGTCTCAAGAAAAAAAAAAAAGAAAAGAAAAAAGTGCTGCTAGAAATTACAGAAAATTCTGGCCTTAAAACCTCAGTTAACGTGGGGTTTCAGAGCAAGAGAGCAATGAGCTCACGGCCTCCTCTTCCACTTGGAGAAAAACACGTCCAGGATGATGAAAATCCCATCACCTCATCATAATTGGTGTCGTTCAAATCTTCGTCGTCATCGTCGGCCGTCTGATTTTTTTTCATCTGATCCCCAACAGTTCTCTTCCCCGGCGGAGCATGACGATCGTCCACGGGGTCGTTGGCGTCGCGCGCAGGGCCGATATCCGAGCGGGTGGTGAAACCCGTGGCTCTGGGTGGACAAAGCAGTAGCACCTATTTAGCACCCTGCAACCCTGCTCTCTGTCACACAGGCAGCCTGTTGAAATCATTACTTAGAACAGGCAATAAATACGTGATTTTTCTGCAAAAAATGGCACCAGCCAGTCCCCATCCCTGCTGTTTGTAAAGCCTGGGTGAGAAAAAACATGCTCTTAAAAGAAGTTCATCTACAAAGACACTGCAACCACCTGGCTCAACGTTTTACCATCCATCTTGCACCAAAATGTTCTTTATCTTATAAATTGTCTCTCTAGGTTAGACACAGTAAAAAGGGCCGGTCCTGCAGGCTGTAGGGCACAA